TTGTTAAAGAAATAAATCGTAATAACAAACGTGTATTTAATTTCCAAGTCTATTACAATGTACTGTTTCAGCTGCCGTGCTTATCAAAATTGCAATAATTAAGGGTGGCCATTATTTTTTTTTTAGAAAGTGAAGCCTAAAAATTTAATTTTAACTCCACAATTTAGCCTTTGGTGTCTACTTCTTGGGAATGAGATATTAAATAAGGATCCGATTTGCATATAACCATACAATTGTCGTGATTTTATTATCAGACACAGTGGTCCGATTATATTTCTTCACATGTAAGAAAGAAAGAGATATTTATTTGGCTATTCATTACAGAATATAAAGGTACAGATAGCTTAATGTAACACAGTATGTATTATACTTAAATCAGAATCTTAAATTACAACGAACAAGAGTAGAAATACATTCTTAAATGAATCATATACAATTAGTATTGTACGTGGTTGAGCCATGCTGCAGCTATATTTTTTTTTAAAAACGTTACCCCTACACTAGGATTTTCTCCTGTGTCGTGGAGGCAGTTAACAAACATAAATTGCAAAAGGACAAACATGCAGACCCGGAATAATTATTTGTAGGCCATACAAATACTTGTTCCGTGCGGGATTCGAACCCGCGGCCCCCAGCGCAACAACTGATTGCTAAGCCACTGCGCCACGGAGCCGTCAATATTAGTAGTATAGTTGTAGCACGAAGGGGTCGGCTCAACCGGGGAAGGGCCACGCTCTCACAGAATACCAGCGTAAAATAGCAGCTTAACACCGCTGATTTTCGTATGGTGAGTGCCACCGGGTGACGGCGCATCTGCATTTTGATTCTTTATTGAGGATAAATGTAGATGTCTATGGGTCACAGCAACCACTTAACATCAGGTGGACTGTGTGCTCGTTTGTCATCCTATCCTATAAAAAAAAAATACAAAAAATTTCTCCAAATTATTTAATCCTCAGACGTGCCTCACGATGTTTTCCTACAGCGCCTAGCACGAACTCAGCATCAGCACTTAAAATACGATTAACAATTTAATTGGTGCCGGCGTGGATCGCTCACGGGTTACTTGCGTACGGAGAATTTACGGCTGCTGTAACATCTCAGGGAAATTAGCTAAGTTGTCAATTCACCTGCCAAGCGTTGCAACTGTAGCAAAATCTACCTATGAGGTAACCTTTGGGGAGACCTATGTTCAGCAATGGCTTTTGATCATCTATTTTTAATAGTATGTGCTCAAAGACAAGGATATAAAATTTAATTCGTTGCTAAATAGAGTAGATCTCCTATCGAAACGGAATTCATGCGAAAGTGCTTCTTTCCACGCGCGTATACTTTACGGCCTGTTACTGTGAAACAGATTGAATGTCATTTGTGTCAATTGTGCCTCAAAATATTATATTATAAAAAACATGAAATATAATATGTATGATTGTAGCGCAAATCAAGATTACGAGAATCATTACCGCGTTTCTTATCAGTATTGTAAGAATCATCAATGGAAAATTTCAAGATCCCTTGGCATTATTCCTTACGTCTGTCTAATAGATGATTACTTACCACCAGGTGGGATAGTAGTCAAGCAATAACTTAATAATAAATTAATATTAAATAATGAATATTTTAATAATAAATTCTAGTCGACTTAAGTTAGAATCCATCACCCCATCTCGTTTTATATCTATAAAATAATAATCTAATCGGACTAGCTTTTGAATACACCATACAATATACCCTAATACAAAATACGTTGTATTTTTTTTATACGATGACAAACGAGCACACAGTCCACCGGATGTTAAGTGGTTGCTGTGACTCATAGACATCTACATCTATCCTCAATAAAGAAAAAAATACAAATGTATTGCCACCCGTGACGACTAAGATGGAATGCCTCTTTTCCAGTAAAAAGGGTCTCCTAGTCTCTACACTCACCATACGAAACACAGTGGTGTTAAGCTGCTATTTTACGCGGGTATTCTGTGAGAGCGTGGTCCTTCCCCGGTTGAGCCGACCAATTCGTGCTACAAATATTTTACTAATATAGCTGCAACATGGCTCTACCACGTATGGAATCTGTGTGAAAACAATGTATAGTTTAAAACATAATTTTCTTCTGCATTGTAATGAACAGAGATAATAGAGGAAGATTTGTTAGCTTAAAATTTCTTCAACTAAAAAATTTAAATAAATCGCAGTAAAATTGGTGCAAATTAACAAAAAAAAATTAAAATGATAAACTAGATTAAACATACAGACCATTCAAGTATATTCATAAATTTTACCTACAAATTGGATTCAAAGTACGGAAATCAAGAGTCGAAATCCGTACTTCCGCAAGAAAGCTTCTTAATTCGCAAGTATTAACAGGCCTGTCTCACTCCACGCTTTAGACATGAAAATATACCTACGCTACGTGGCCGCTTACAAGGGGTTAATTCAGTGAGGGTGTCAAGCGCGCCTGAGTTGACGCGCACCTTACGTTAACAAAAAAGTATATTTCTGTCATTAATATTTAGACACTTTTGATATTTATTTTTGATTTTTCATTCAAGCATGACCACTCAAAAAACCAAAAGTTACTGCATAGCAACGGGTGCTTAAATAACAATAGAAATGTCGACTTTACATTCCTTACTGTTCCTAAGGATCCCGAAAGGTAATATATTATTATTTATAGGTAGATCTAGATAATTAGGAACCTAGTTACTGACGCCATAGTTACAGAATTATTATTTGACCATAGCTTCGCAGATTCGATTTTGTCGCGAATAATGCCAATGATTTTAAAAATGCGTTCAGTGTAACTAGACCTCGCAGTCCTTGTGAAATTTATGTATATAAACTGCCCCCCCCCCCCCTCCACGACACAGGAGACAATCCTGTTATGAAGGTAACGTTTAAAAAAAAGGAGTGGGTGGGGGCAGAAGTGTTTGCAGTCCCAATGTCAAGAGTTAGCCCAGGCTACCTTCAGCTAACAAAGAATATTAATTTTGGTCCAATCTACGCAGAACGAGCTTACAGTATTTTGAAGTCATTCAGTTATATGCACTACTCTATATAACCCGAGGATGTTGAAAGAGGCGATAGTGGGCAACTTTAACAGAAGATGACAACACAAACGAAAAATTATTACTGCATTTTGCCAACATACCTGCGAAACGTAGCAAATATCGCCCCTGTTAAGCAATCCTATCCTATATTATGAAAGCCCACTGCTGAACATATAGCAGACCTATATGGTCAGCAGTGGGCTTTCATAGACTGTCATTATAATGATGAAATAATTTATAAGATATAGAAAGGACAAATAAACTTAAGCAAATCGGTAATAGGCAAGGCATTTATAAAGTTTACGAAACTTTATTCTCTGCATTTCTTTTCAAATTAATTTAATATTCAAACATGTAACTTAAACAAAATTTCTGAGTTAAATCATGACGTAATAAAAAACTTTTTTGCGGTAAAAAATTTCAGGGTTTAGAGAGATAATATTATAAACAAAAATTCAATTAATTTAAAGTGGCCGCCTTCCACCTTGATACAGGTCTTTAAGCTTCCTGGACGACGGTATTATCATGCATAAATTCTTAAAAAAATACATACATAAATAAACACTCACGCCTGTCACCCTGAAGAGTAGGCAGAGACTACGGACTTCCATTTGGCACCTAACACACCTCTCTCGCCTCTTTTACATTCAAATATCTACGCCTACATGCTCGTCGGTTAAGGATACTCCTAATTTTTTTGACGGCTCCGTGGCGCAGTGGCTTAGCAATGAGTTGCTGCGCTGGGGGGCGCGGGTTCGAATCCCACACGGAATAAGTATTTGTATGGCCTACAAATGATTGTTCCGGGTCTGGATGATTGTCCTTGAGAAATTTGTGTTTGTAAACTGCCTTCACGATACAGGAGAAAATCCTAGTGTGGGGGTAACGTTTTAAAAAAAAAAGAAACAAAGAAACAAACAAAAATTTTCGATATATCGCCAATTTGGTCGATACTTTCTATTTTTCTCGGTCCTTTTATGACTCTGCTGTTTACATCTGCAATATAGATTTACTTGGCCACTCTTTCCTCGTTCATTCTTTCTACACGAACAAACCACCGAAGCATTTCTTTATTAATCCTGATCACAAAATAATCCTACTCATCTTAAAAAATTTAAATATTTTTCCTGAACTAATTAACACCAAATTATGTAATTTATTTTCCCCAATCTACCTTGTTCTAATGGAGACAGTTTAGTTCAAAATTTAAATTATATTTCTTAAGGAGTCAAAGCCTTAGTTTAAGACGGTACTTTGGTAGAACCTGTGACAGTTTCTCCTATCCGTGGCGGCAAGAAGCGACTGAATTGAGTAAATGGTGCGAATATGAGTATCTGAAAGGTGCTTGTATATTTGTGCCACTTGCTGTAGAGGTCAAGGCGCAGTATCGTTTTTTAAGGAACTGTATCCGTAGCTGGTCTTCAAAGGGGATGGTTCGTTTTAAAATTATAAGTATAGGCATTCAGAGAAGAAGCGCAGTCAGCGTTCTTGGCACTATACTGCAGGGAAAAGGACTGTATAATCATATTGGTTTTGAGTTTATTTGGCTGTAGTAAGGAGTCATCTAAATACATACTTTAAAATACCGGGAATATCATTGAAGTGTTCAGGCCATGTGATATTTTAAAAACTAGAACATTTATTTATAAACTCGACTTTGAAATTTAGCGATAAATTATAACAAGATACGTCAAAACACAATCTCGTGTCTAACAAATGCATCATGTGTGATTTGGCGTCTAAATTAGGACGTAACTCATTAAGCACTACATTAAAAATTACCATAGTAACCAAGAATAGCTGTATAAAAAGCGCGCGCTTCCTGCTTTCTGTCTGCCCTCGATGGTTGACTTTTTTTAATATTTCAAATAACTAGCATTCAGTATCCAGTCTTGTTTTATATAGTTATTGTAAACGATGACGCGGGATTATAAAACCGAATGAGGCGAGATGAGGGCAATCAGTAGCTTCGAGACATCTTGCACGATGAGAGTTCTGGTCAGTCAAGTTGTGTTCCTTTGTTTAAGTATTTCTTGTGATAAGTGATCAATATAAACAGTGAATCGTTAAAATTACTTAAACATTATTTTATAATTTATGCATATTAAATAATTCATTAATTACAGCATATCAAAAGTGCAGGGCCTCCGACGTAGGTTGCCTAATAGGGGGATATTTGCCACAGTTCCCTCTCATAGCAAGTGGGATGGCAACCGCTTATTTTTTATTATTTTCAGTTATTATCAGGAGGATACTGTATTATATCCTGCTTCATTACCCTCTGCCGCCTTATACGACACTCACCGGATGGTATACTACGTGGCAGGCACGTCAAAAGCCACAGTTTTTTATTATTTTGAGCTGTTCTTGGTTCGATGTCGCTGCCAATTTCCTATTTCAGTTTCCCTTTGTCGCCTCTTACGACAACGACGGGATGAAGTGGGGTAGATTCACTTGCTCCGCCACTACACGGCAATCCTTATTGTAAACTAGCTGTGCCCCGCGACTTCGCCCGCGTAAAATTTACTACGATTTCATGGATATCAATTTTTTGTGCGGAACCCTAATTTTGTTTTTGAGTAATGTTACCATTTTATTAATACTGACAAATATTGACATTAATATTTATACGATACTAACGTCACTCAATTGTTTTGTCTTCCCGGAACCCCTCCACTAACACTTAAACTTTATGTTATGGTATTAAAGTTCAAATTGACTTTTAAGTATTATTACGAATCTTTCGTAAATCGGTTCAGCTGCTCTCGAGATTTGCGCTTAGCAACACATTTAGCGATTCATTTTTATATTATAGATATGTTCTTATTACGATTATACTTATATTAATACATAGACAGTAACATTTAATTTCAGTAAGAAACAAAATTATTGTTAACTCATTTTTGATTTAGATATTCGTTATGTCAGGGAGTCACTGTAAAAGTGAACATTGGTCTACAGCCGTCTCAAATTTTGCCTTGGTAAATAACAATCCACTCCTGGAATTGAGCCTCTCCCCATGCCTCGGGAGGTCATTTAACGTTTTTACATAACAAATTGCTTTTGCTTTTTTCACATTTTACTTTGCCGTAATCAATACATTTTGACTCGCCCTACAGCCCTCTAACATACTTTAAATAGATATAGGCTTAACTGCTATTGCTCTCAGGTAGAGTGTATTATTTGCGAATATATCCTCATTTCTAAGTCTATCACGTAGAGAAACACCGAGCATAGCCCTCTCCATAGCTCGCTGAGTAACTTTAACCAGGTCTCAGATCCCTAGGTCATCATTGGCAACAAACACTGGTAATAAAATCAAGTTTTGAAGTTTTGAGATATGCCTGACGAGAAGATGTGTCGTAAACTCCCGTGCGCTGGCCAGCCGGGTTGAATCCCTCGATTGATCTCTCGGTTGAAATTGGACTTACCTAATCGGACTATTTCTTCCAGGTAGACATATTCGTCAACAAATTCGAGCTTAGAACCTATGCCTGTAGTGCTCCCAACAACTACTTGCAAGGTCAGACATGAACGTTAAACATGATTTTAATTTTGTCCATGCTCATCTTAAAACCTATCCGTTGGGAGACACTATTGAGGTCATTGAGTCCCTTTAGTGGTGGCACATGGACTGTCGGTATATCGAAGTACTGAAGTATTTGTACAGTAGGGCTACGATGGCTATCCGAGTACCGAAACACAGTACAAAACCTATCCAACTGCAGAGAAGTATAAGACAGGGTGATGTTATATCCTCGAAACACTTCACTGTCGCATTAGAAGATGTTTTAAGCTACTGGACTGGAAAGGATACGGTATTAACGTCAATGGCGAGTACATCACTCACCTTCGATTTGCCGACGATATAGTCCTTATGGCAGATCCACCGGAGGACGTAAGCACTATGCTCAAAAAAAATCATTAAGATTTACAGTCATATAATTAATTATGTGTAGAAAAGAAAAACTTGTGAAAAATCTGCATGTCTAAGAAATAACAAACATCTAGAGCACGTGAAGTCTACTTTGTATATAGGGACAGCGTGCGTTAATACGGTAATCCCTGTTCCAAATTATTTTAAATTAAAAAGAGGCCCAGCGGTGGGACATTTATAGACGGTTTCTTCTCTTTTTCCTAAGTTAAATCTTTGTGACTCTACTTAAAACCTAATTTTTAAAAGCAAACTGTACCATGGTAATATTAATGTTGACATTTATTAACAGTACATAGACTACCAAGCTCAACTAGGCGTTAGCGAAATAAATATATATTTCGCAAGGCTGATACATAACCAGACTGTATAGATTGCTTAAGTGGCTGCGACTAAATATTATAAGCCAGCAAAAATATCCACTACACCACAAAATCCCGTAAGTGCCGTAAGAAGCGACAGAGGAAAACTAAAACTAGGGGTAGGCAGTAACATCTATGTCATAACAACCTAAAATAAAAATGTAAACTGTAGTTGCAAGCCCCCTGGTAAAACGTCTTATGCCTAGCTGTGGCCTGATAGGTTGAAATGATGATGATGACATTGAATAATATAAATAAACATATACAAGAATTGCTTGCTTTAAGTATTAAGATTACATTCATTTGAATACGTAATATGAAATGCAGTTAACCTTCATACCTAAAGAATCCTATAAATTATAATTCTAAATACTTGATCAATAGGAATTCATTTTTAAGACTATAACAAATAATAAAAAAATCTTTGCAGATCTTGATCGCTGCCTTCTTGGCTTCCGCAACCGCTGCGCCTTCTGGTGCCTTCTTCGGTCCGATTGCACACATCGCCTACTATACGGTACCTATTCCTGCTGCTGTACCCACAATATCACCAGGTGACTTACAAGCTGCAGCGATAAATGCAAAAGTTCAAGTTGAGCAGCAAGTTCAAGCTGCAGCCGACAAGGCAAGAGAATTAGCTGAACAAGCAATAGAAAAACAAAATGAGGGTATAATTGAAGCCAATGATTTAGCAAAGGAGCAGGCCGAAGAGTCGTTCTGGGCAGCAGAAGAAAAGAAATGGCAAGCTTTAGACGCTTTAAAAACCGCTGAAGCTCAGATTGATGGATCTATAGCGAGCAGAGCCAGTGATGTCGCTTTAGCGGCGTATAGCGTACCCACTACGGTTCAGGCTCAAACAGGACTTTCGGGACAGTCTGTTGTAGCGGCAGAAACAAAAAGCATCGCCCCTGAAGGAGTCAAAGTAGAAGAACAAAAGGAAAAAGCTGAAGAAGAAGCAATAGCCTCTGTCAAATCTGTGCAAACCGAAAACATACCTGAAAATGCTGAAAATCCAGTGGAGCATGTTCAAACAGAAACAGCTAAAATGGAGACACTGACGTCTGTGAAAACTGCAGAAGCAGTTAAAGAAGAAAATACAGCTGCTGTCGTCTTAGCTCAAACTCACCCAGCCGAAAGCAAACCAGAAAATGCTGAAAAATCCGTGGAGAACATTCCAACAGAAGGAGTTAAAATGGAATTATCAGCGACAGTGGAAACTGCAGAAACTGTTAAAGAAGAAAATCCAGCTGCTGTCTTCTTAGCTCAAACTCACCCAGCCGAGAGCAAACCAGAAAATGCTGAAAAGTCCGTGGAGAACATTCAAACAGAAGCAGCTAAAATGGAATCATCAGCGACAGTGGAAACTGCAGAAACTGTTAAAGAAGAAAATCCAGCTGCTGTCTTCTTAGCTCAAACTCACCCAGCCGAAAGCAAACCAGAAAATCCTGAAAAGTCCGTGGAGAACATTCAAACAGAAGCAGCTAAAATGGAATCATCAGCGACAGTGGAAACTGCAGAAACTGTTAAAGGAGAAAATCCAGCTGCTGTCTTCTTAGCTCAAACTCTCCCAGCCGAAAGCAAACCTGAAAATGCTGAAAAGCCTGTGGAGAACGTTCAAGCTGAAGCAGCTAAAATTGAATCATCAGCCTCAGTGAAAACTGCAGAAGCAGTTAAAGCAGAAAATCCAGCTGCTGTCTTTTTAGCTCAAACTCACCCGGCACCTGTGGTGTCTAATGCCTTCTTAGCACAACCCTGGCTGAAACAAGGCTTTGGACCAATTTCCTACATTCCTGGACTACAAAACTACGTTCCAAATCTCGTTCCAAATTATAATGGTCACTTGGCAAACCCAGTGTTTTTTAGAACTGCATGGTAAGAAGCAAGTTATTTACAATTTTTAAGGGATTTGTTAAAGAAATAAATCGTAATAACAAACGTGTATTTAATTTCCAAGTCTATTACAATGTACTGTTTCAGCTGCCGTGCTTATTTAATCCTCAGACGTGCTTCACGATGTTTTCCTACAGCGCCTAGCACGAACTCAGCATCAGCACTTAAAATACGATTAACAATTTAATTGGTGCCGGCGTGGATCGCTCACGGGTTACTTGCGTACGGAGAATTTACGGCTGCTGTAACATCTCAGGGAAATTAGCTAAGTTGTCAATTCACCTGCCAAGCGTTGCAACTGTAGCAAAATCTACCTATGAGGTAACCTTTGGGGAGACCTATGTTCAGCAATGGCTTTTGATCATCTATTTTTAATAGTATGTGCTCAAAGACAAGGATATAAAATTTAATTCGTTGCTAAATAGAGTAGATCTCCTATCGAAACGGAATTCATGCGAAAGTGCTTCTTTCCACGCGCGTATACTTTACGGCCTGTTACTGTGAAACAGATTGAATGTCATTTGTGTCAATTGTGCCTCAAAATATTATATTATAAAAAACATGAAATATAATATGTATGATTGTAGCGCAAATCAAGATTACGAGAATCATTACCGCGTTTCTTATCAGTATTGTAAGAATCATCAATGGAAAATTTCAAGATCCCTTGGCATTATTCCTTACGTCTGTCTAATAGATGATTACTTACCATCAGGTGGGATAGTAGTCAAGCAATAACTTCATAATAAATTAATATTAAATAATGAATATTTTAATAAAAAATTCTAGTCGACTTAAGTTAGAATCCATCACCCCATCTCGTTTTATATCTATAAAATAATAATCTAATCGGACTAGCTTTTGAATACACCATACAATATACCCTAATACAAAATACGTTGTATTTTTTTTATACGATGACAAACGAGCACACAGTCCACCGGATGTTAAGTGGTTGCTGTGACTCATAGACATCTACATCTATCCTCAATAAAGAAAAAAATGCAAATGTATTGACACCCGTCACGACTAAGATGGAATGCCTCTTTTCCAGTAAAAAGGGTCTCCTAGTCTCTACACTCACCATACGAAACACAGTGGTGTTAAGCTGCTATTTTACGCTGGTATTCTGTGAGAGCGTGGTCCTTCCCCGGTTGAGCCGACCAATTCGTGCTACAAATATTTTACTAATATAGCTGCAACATGGCTCTCCCACGTATGGAATCTGTGTGAAAACAATGTATAGTTTAAAACATAATTTTCTTCTGCATTGTAATGAACAGAGATAATAGAGGAAGATTTGTTAGCTTAAAATTTGTTCAACTAAAAATTTTAAATAAATCGCAGTAAAATTGGTACAAATTAACAAAAAAAAAATTTAAATGATAAACTAGATTCAACAGACCATTCAAGTATATTCATAAATTTTACCTACAAAATGGATTCAAAGTACGGAAATCAAGAGTCGAAATCCGTATTTCCGCAAGAAAGCTCCTAAATTCGCAAGTATTAACAGGCCTGTCTCACTCCACGCTTTAGACATGAAAATATACCTACGCTACGCGGCCGCTTACAAGGGGTTAATTCAGTGAGGGTGTCACGCGAGCTTGAGTTGACGCGCACCTTACGTTAACAAAAAAGTATAATTCTGTCATTAGTATTTAGAAACTTTTCATATATTTTTTTTATTTTTCATTCAAGCATGACCACTCAAAAAACCAAAAGTTACTGCATAGCAACGGGTGCTTAAATAACAATAGAAATGTCGACTTTACATTCCTTACTGTTCCTAAGGATCCCGAAAGGTAATATATTATTATTTATAGGTAGATCTAGATAATTAGGAACCTAGTTACTGACGCCATAGTTACAGAATTATTATTTGACCATAGCTTCGCAGATTCGATTTTGTCGCGAATAATGCCAATGATTTTAAAAATGCGTTCAGTGTAACTAGACCTCGCAGTCCTTGTGAAATGTATGTATATAAACTGCCCCCCCTCCCCCCCTCCACGATACAGGAGACAATCCTGTTATGAAGGTAACGTTTAAAAAAAGGGGTGGGTGGAGGCTGAAGTGCTTGCAGTCCCAATGTCAAGAGTTAGCTCAGGCTACCTTCGGCTAACAAAGAATATTAATTTTGGTCCAATATACGCAGAACGAGCTTACAGTATTTTGAAGTCATTCAGTTATATGCTTGGGCTTCGAGAATCCACTACTCTATATCAACCCGAGGATGTTGTAAGAGGCGATAGTGGGCAACTTTAACAGAAGATGACAACTCAAAAAGATTACTGCAGTTGCCAACATACCTGTGAAACGTAGCAAATATCGCCCCTGTTAAGCAATCCTATCCTATATTATGGAAGCCCACCGCTGAACATATAGCAGACCTAAATGGTCAGCAGTGGGCTTTCATAGACTGCAATTGTAATGATGAAATAATTTAATAAGAGATATAAAAAGGACTATGCCGCATAAAAATTAATTTTTATACGTCATTTAGGCTAATTTAATATAAACTTAAGCCAAATCGGTAATAGGCAAGGCATTTATAAAGTTTACGAAACTTTATTCTCTGCATTTCTTTTCAAATTAATTTAATATTCAAACATGTAACTTAAACAAAATTTCTGAGTTAAATCATGACGTAATGAAAAACTTTTTTGCGGTAAGAAATTTCAGGGTTTAAAGAGATAATATTATAAACAAAAATTCAATTAATTTAAAGTGGCCGCCTTCCACCTTGATACAGGTCTTTAAGCTTCCTGGACGACGGTATTATCATGCATAAATTCTTAAAAAAATACATACATAAATAAACACTCACGCCTGTCACCCTGAAGAGTAGGCAGAGACTACGGACTTCCATTTGGCACCTAACACACCTCTCTCGCCTCTTTTACATTCAAATATCTACGCCTACATGCTCGTCGGTTAAGGATACTCCTAATTTTTTTGACGGCTCCGTGGCGCAGTGGCTTAGCAATGTGTTGCTGCGCTGGGGGGCGCGGGTTCGAATCCCACACGGAATAAGTATTTGTATGGCCTACAAATGATTGTTCCGGGTCTGGATGTTTGTCCTTGTGAAATTTGTGTTTGTAAACTGCCTCCACGATACAGGAGAAGATCCTAGTGAGAGGGTAACGTTTAAAAAAAAAAGAAACAAAGAAACAAACAAAAATTTTCGATATATCGCCAATTTGGTCGATACTTTCTATTTTTCTCGGTCCTTTTATGACTCTGCTGTTTACATCTGCAATATAGATTTACTTGGCCACTCTTTCCTCGTTCATTCTTTCTACACGAACAAACCACCGAAGCATTTCTTTATTGATCCTGATCACAAAATAATCCAAATCATCTTAAAAAATTAAAATATTTTTCTTGAACTAATTAACACAAAATTATGTAATTTATTTTCACCAATCTACCTTGTTCTAATGGAGACAGTTTAGTTCAAAATTTAAATTATATTTCTTAAGGAGTCAAAGCCTTAGTTTGAGACGCTACGTTGGTAGAACCTTTGGCAGTCTCTCCTATCCGTGGCGGCAAGAAGCGACTGAATTGAGTAAATGGTGCGAATATGAGTATCTGAAAGGTGCTTGTATATTTGTGCCACTTGCTGTAGAGGTCAAGGCGCAGTATCGTTTTTTAAGGAACTGTATCCGTAGCTGGTCTTCAAAAGGGATGGTTCGTTTTAAAATTATAAGTATAGGCATTCAGAGAGGAAGCGCAGTCAGCGTTCTTGGCACTATACTGCAGGGAGAAGGACTGTATAATAATATTGGTTTTGAGTTTTTTTGGCTGTAGTAAGGAGTCATCTAAATACATACTTTAAAATACCGGGAATATCATTGAAGTGTTCAGGCCATGTGATATTTTAAAAACTAGAACATTTATTTATAAACTCGACTTTGAAATTTAGCGATAAATTATAACAAGATACGTCAAAACACAATCTCGTGTCTAACAAATTCATCATGTGTGATTTGGCGTCTAAATTACGACGTAACTCATTAAGCACTACATTAAAAATTACCATAGTAACCAAGAATAGCTGTCTAAAAAGCGCGCGCTTCCTGCTTTCTGTCTGCCCTCGATGGTTGACTTTTTTTAATATTTCAAATAACTAGCATTCAGTATCCAGTCTTGTTTTATATAGTTATTGTAAACGATGACGCGGGATTATAAAACCGAATGAGGCGAGATGAGGGCAATCAGTAGCTTCGAGACATCTTGCACGATGAGAGTTCTGGTCAGTCAAGTTGTGTTCCTTTGTTTAAGTATTTCTTGTGATAAGTGATCAATATAAACAGTGAATCGTTAAAATTACTTAAACATTATTTTATAATTTATGCATATTAAATAATTCATTAATTACAGCATATCAAAAGTGCAGGGCCTCCGACGTAGGTTGCCTAATAGGGGGATATTTGCCACAGTTCCCTCTCATAGCAAGTGGGATGGCAACCGCTTATTTTTTATTATTTTCAGTTATTATCAGGAGGATACTGTATTATATCCTGCTTCATTACCCTCTGCCGCCTTATACGACACTCACCGGATGGTATACTACGTGGCAGGCACGTCAAAAGCCACAGTTTTTTATTATTTTGAGCTGTTCTTGGTTCGATGTCGCTGCCAATTTCCTATTTCAGTTTCCCTTTGTCGCCTCTTACGACAACGACGGGATGAAGTGGGGTAGATTCACTTGCTCCACCACTACACGGCAATCCTTATTGTAAACTAGCTGTGCCCCGCGACTTCGCCCGCGTAAAATTTACTACGATTTCATGGATATCAATTTTTTGTGCGGAACCCTAATTTTGGTTTTGAGTAATGTTACCATTTTATTAATACTGACAAATATTGACATTAATATTTATACGACACTAACGTCACTCAATTGTTTTGTGTTCCCGGAACCCCTCCACTAACACTTAAACTTTATGGTATGGTATTAAAGTTCAAATTGACTTTAAA